TGCTGAAATTGTGTAAAAATCTCTATACACGATATAAAAATTGACATTTTATAATAAAACCATATACACATAGTAATTGCAGGTAAGAGTTATTGTTCTTGAAAAACTTCACAGTAGTGAAATAGGTAGCCGGTTTCCTGAAGTAAAGAAAAAAATGGACACATGTGACTCATTGATAAAAAATAACCTGAATTAATACCTGGATTGCTTTGAAATACTTTAATATCGAGAGAACACATTGTTCTGTCAATAATAAACATACAATATTCATCAGTTTAATATTAAACATTAGAATTTGCGGAAATTGTGATACTGTCTCCCTACATTGGATTTTCAACTAGGGATGTACTTCCTGTTTCCGTTTATCAATAAGCATCCGTGTTTTTCATGTTATCTCGGTTATAAGGGAGGTAACCGGACCTACAAGGTATACAATTCGCCAGGATATGCTGCTGTATTTATACACCCAAGGAAGACCACATGCGCAGTTTTCATCAACACAGAAAGTTAATGAGCTGGAAAGTCGTTAGTCCGGTGCTGAAGGGAGCCCCAAAAAGGTCATGCAGGAATGGAAAATGCCGCTGCTCTCTCATTAGCAAAATGCGTCAGATCTTTTCTTCTTTATGCTGAAAGCTTAATCATTATATGATGGAGGGATTATGTGTACGTAATGATGCAAGTACCGTAGTGTTATTTTGACGAGGTTAGGGATATCTTATAGCGCTGGGAGAGAAGAAACCCAGCGGTATAGTGAAAAGAGCAGCTACATAAATCTGGCGAGGCAAAGGCAATTTCATGGATATTTTAAACCGCGTGGACTGACACTTTCATCAGAGAGGTTGATCGTTGTTTTTATTAATAATTAGTGTACATTGTTTACATTGCCTAGTGATTTAAGAAGGGAAGTATGACGCAGAATATTATGACGTCATCAATTTACTGTATTCAAATCTTCGTAAATCCTTTTACTGAAGTTTGGGCTTTTATAGGGTTTAATTCGCGAAAACTTAAAAGAAAAAAAGTATACACAAGGTTGAAATGAAATCATTTGCATCATGTTAAGATTGTTTGTTATATCATATATTATACAAATATGTATATAGACACTGTTGTTAGATGTCTGAGTTTCAACATGTTTTGAGAGAGGAGAAAACGTCCTACGGCGTTGAGAAAATGAACTCTAAATGTAACAAGGCAGTAACGGCTTATCAACACAGTCGTGGTTTATAAACAATTCCATAAAAATATGCAACGTAATGATTGGTTAGATATAGAAGTAATTAATCAAAAGTAACGAAAACTGATTCAATATAAAAAGTCACATAAACTAACTGTACTGATGTAAAAAGAATCTTGGAAAAGACCCAAAATCATAGGTGAATGGCAAATGAGCAGACGTACCAAATTGAAATTTCTATGAACAATCAAATATAAAAATTTCAACGCCGCAACATAAAAATCTATAACAATCACCGCCTCCTCCACCCACATCACCCCCACCAACACCAAAACAATCACCCCACTATCACCACCTTCACCAAAACCACAAAAACCGCCAAAACCAAGACAAACACCCCCACTATCATCGCCACCATCAAAACCGCCAAAACCAAGACAAACACCCCCACTATCATCGCCACCATCAAAACCGCCAAAACCAAGACAAACACCCCCACTATCATCGCCACTGCCAACATCAACACCCAAACAATCATCCACACTATCACCACAACCGCCAAAACCAAAACAAACACCCCACCTAACACCAAAACCACTACTGAAACAACAATCACCCCACAATCATCGCCACCATCACCACCAACACCATTACAATCACCAAACTATCGCTGCCTACACCACCACCATCACAATCACCGGCACTTTTGCTGTCACCACCACATCCGCCTCCACATCCGCCGCCCGCTACCACCACACTCACCTATATTACCACCAAATCTATACCACCTCCACTTCCCCACTAGCAACACCACCACCCAGGTGTAATATAACACTCGGTCCGGCACCAGAGCCACAATTCCGGAACCAAACACTTCAACACGCTGTCCATCACTAACGGTGAGAAGATTACACGTTCAACGATTTCGAAGACTTTGATGGAGTACACCATGCAATGTGAACATCAATCCTTTGTCTTCACTGTCCTTGCTGGTCGAGGTCACCTCTACCGAGATACTAACGGGGACGTCCCGGGCATGTTCGCCTCTATACTACTTCCAAATGCTTGTTAATGTTATACGACAATCTTTTGTTTGTTTGTTTGGTTTGTTTGGTTTGTTTTTTTATTTATTTGTTTGTTTATTTATTTGTTTGTTTGTTTGTATGTTTGTTTGGGCTGTTGCGTCCTCAAAACAGGTAAGGTCAAATTTCAGCAGTGTTCACATATAAGGGACACAATTGATTCTTTCGGCTGACAACAACTAAAAGTGCATGGGGGAAACGCCGCTACAGGGCAATAGTACGAAAGGAAAATGGAATTTCCCCCTGCAGTCAGTATGAAGAAACGAAAGAGTAGAAACTAAGAAAGGAAAAGATACAGATCCAAAGTATTACAATGGGGGAAGCGGATCAATTACGCTTCCGTTAATGTACCCTTAGCAAACGAAAGGAGAAATCCGGATTATGCAAGACCCCATCGCCTTTAACTGTAACAAGCGACGGGCTACATCAGGCCTATTCTTTAGTGAGACAAAGCCGGCATAGTATTTAAAATAATGTAATACGAGTTAAGAACATGAACGTTTTAAATGTTATCTCCGTATCTGCCTCTTACCACTAAATAATAATGTTCTTTCGGATTGTATACAACGTTTGCTATAGCAATATTGAGATCTCAAGTCTGCTATACGTGAACATTCTTTTCCTTTAGCTAAAGCTAACCATTTCAATTTGTACCATCGCCCTTTGCATGCAATTAACCAAGACAAAATGTGGAACGACATATTATTATTTTTTCCTCGATTATTCTCGGGTTTCCATAGTACCCGTCAAAGTTTACCTGAAACAAGACCGGTTAAATCATGAGAGAAATATGCATACCTATTAGTCTCCAGGTTAAATTATAATTAGTTTAAAACGGTTTCACTTGACATCACGTTTCGGGATAACAATGTCCCACATTTTGTGCTCAAAACAATATCTATAGATATTGGTCTGTGGTAGGGACGTTTTTGTTGAGGTAAGCTATAAATGATTCAAACAAAGTGTGCGGTACCTGTATTTTTTCTACAACTTTTATGTTTCATCCTGGCCGTTTTGTTTCACCATGACCCTTTCCACTCAACAGGACCGTTTCGTTTCACCGTGATCGTTTCTTTTTATTATGACCGTTTCGTTTTTCCATGACTGAAACAATCAAAGTCTTCGAAATCGTTAAACGTGTAAACAGCTCTTCTCACCTTGAAGTATGACTGTTTTGCTTCGTTTCACCATTATCATTTCTTTTTACCATAGCCGTTTCATTTCGCCATAGCTGTTTCGTTTCACTTTGACAGTTTCGTTTCGTTTCATGTTACCAGAGCCGTTTCATTTCGCCATAGCTGTTTCGTTCCACTTTGACAGTTTCGTTTCGTTTCATGTTACCAGAGCCGTTTCATTTCGCCATAGCTGTTTCGTTTCTCTTTGACAGTTTCGTTTCGTTTCATGTTACCATAGCCGTTTCATTTCGCCATAACTGTTTCGTTTCACTTTGACAGTTTCGTTTCGTTTCTTGTTACCATAGCCGTTTCATTTCGCCATAGCTGTTTCGTTTCACTTTGACGTTTCGTTACGTTTCATGTTACCATAGCCGTTTCATTTCGCCATAGCTGTTTCGTTTCACTTTGACAGTTTCGTTTCGTTTCATGTTACCATAGTCGTTTCATTTCGCCATAGCTGTTTCGTTTCACTTTGGCAGTTTCGTTTCGTTTCATGTTACCATAGCCGTTTCGTTTCGCCATAGCTGCTTCGTTCCACTATGATCTTTTCGTTTCACCACGACCATGACAGGAAGTTGCAGAAACGTTAAGCCCGTCAGCATTACTACGGTACGGTAATTGTTATAATAATTGGCATTAAGTGTTTTCTTACACAGTAATCAACATACCTTCACCTAAGTAAGCCGGATATTTATCGTTACCGGAAGTAGCCCAATCATCATATAACACCCATCTTCTTCAATATTGCTACAGCCCGCGTATGGTTAACAACAGTTAGTCGTACTCCGCAACTAATTTCACCAGAAAAGAAAATAACTACAAATGTATTTTATTTCTACTTTATTTTTTATTGAATGTATACATCGATGTAAAATATTGACAATTTTGCAAGAGATACACCAGTATCTCAACGATACGAGCAAAATATAGTCCTGCTTTCCCGTAACAAACGTAAGGTTCAAGCATTTGGCAAACAACAAATGTCATCATTTAAATTGATGTAGACCTTATTATAATACCGTATACCAAAAAAAATCGCCGCAATTTAACTTTTGCCTTATTCGCCATCCCCATTGAGGGCGAATTTATCATGACAGCGAAAACAAGTACAAAACATACCATGTATATTTATTACATACGAAGGGCGAAATCAACACTACGCGAACTAGGTTTTATCGGCAAAGGGAGATAATTTGACTGGGCGAAAGATTCCCGGGATATGGAAACACGGGGATACCACATGTGGTGCACAGTATTCTTATTCCTTATCGAGTGAATCTCGTGTCGCCTCAATTTCCTTAACGAAGTTATGGATGTCTGTTTGGAAAGGTATTCGTTCCCTCAACCACATGCGGACATTTTAATGACAGGAAAGATTTTTTTTTTTAGAAAAGACCGATCTGATAACAGTTATCAAATAAAATTTGATAAAACTTTGTTTATTTCAGCTAACACAGACAGATTTTTTTCTCTGATTATCTATGTAGGTCAAAGTGGTATACAATGCAGTACATTGTTGGACTGTGGACATATTCAGATAAAAAATTTATCGCTTTTAAAAAAAAAAGTGTGATAGAAATACATCAGAAAGATCCGGAGTGTCGAATTGTAACGATGTATTTGGTGCTCGTATTCGTAGTGGGAGCATTGACGTTCGTCTGTGGGCAAGCCCATCCCGATCATGGAACCGGATGTGACGTAGCAATTCGCCTAGAAAAGTTGCTGGCTGATCTTACAAGTCGTGTCGATGACCTGGAGAAACAAAGACAAGTGGATCACAAGAAAATATCGGATCTGAGGCGAGAAATTGACGAGGCACAGTATATTTTTCTTTTTAGTATTGTAGTTGTATGCCTTAGCAAACCGTATAAAGATACTGTACGCATTTCTGTTGTATCGTAGCTGATTTGGGTCATTTCGTCCCTTCGTTATTTCGCGTTGTAAAGAGGCAAAGAAACGATAATAATATAGTCCCATTGCCTTCGGGTTACACGGAGCGAAGAAACGTTAATTATCGTCTCTTCGCAGCGAAGTAACGATAGTGAACGTTCCTTCGTTTTGTCGCCCCTCCAGAGAGCGAAGGCGAAGGAACGAAGGGACGAGATAAAAGAAAGTTTATTAATGAGCGTTCTCTTATCTTCGTTCTGTCGCTTCAATTTCCTCGTCTTTCGTTCCTTCCCCACCATACTGTTGATAACTATGAATGACCCCACCTTCGCTGCTTCTAAAAAAAAGTATGTACTCGCTGTCTAGCAGATTTTTTTTTTATAAATGTAACTCTGAACATATTTTCGTTTGATGGCTATTTCAGATAAAAATCGAGAACCATGGACTGAAAACTGAGTTAGATGATATGACTACTGTAAGAACCAGACGGTCACTAAACCCAGTCCCTCAGCCATCCACTCTCGATAAGGAAGTGGACGACACTCAAGCACCGACCGTACACATTAAGAATGGGACCAGACACACTCTTAAAGAAGGGGACACGACTCTAGTCGATACAGGCAAAACCAATCGAGTGGGCCGAACAAGAAATTCACCCTCCGACAACAAGATCTCTCATATTACAGACCGTGTTGGTGAATGTAGGTAGTTTCACTGATTACGTCATTTTAGACAGTAAGCTGATTGATAAGATAACACGTGACATGGTCAAAGGTCGTATATTCCGTTCTGAAAAAAAAATCAAGGTCGACACGGAAGCATGAAAAACGAAAACTTATGGAAAATTCAAAGGAATGCTGATTCAAGATCCTACAATGTATTTTTGTATTTTTACAAAAAAAAAAAAACTCATTTCGAGAGAAAAAAACCATTTACCATTTTCAGAACTCCAGCGTCATCATAACTACATGTTTACCTCTGTCTTTAATTTAGAAACACATACGATGATGAACCGTATATATTTTTTATTATTCTGACGTCATACTTTTTCAAGTTACATACAGTTATACGCAAAATACGGCATAGGGATAATTGTGTCATTAAATGGTAGTTACGTAATCTAAAGACACAAGAACACGTCTATTATGAACTGTTCCATGATTTAATCATCCATAAGATTTTTTTGTCGTATTATCGTGTTTTGATTAAGTTTGTTTATTATTATTTTTTCAGACACTCTTAACGACTAGCGGTTCTTTTATTCCAAATATAGAATTCACAAAACTAAGAACAAGCAAAAACTTTTATAACTGCGGTAATATGACCAATGTTCTCCATAACTTACCAATTTAATATGACCTTTATTCTGCATAATTTGCAAATTTGTAATAATAGTGAAAAGCTCCCTTTAATTTACGTTCCAGTCCCAAGAGATCCGACAGCCTTCTACGCAAGAATGGGCAACAATCTGAACGACGTCGTCAGGGGACAGGTGATTCACTTTGATAAAATCGTCACTAATAATGGCGAACACTACGACAAAAACTCGGGTGTTTTTACTTGTGCTGAAGAGGGAACGTACTTCTTTTCGTGGACGCTGTATACTCCAAATAACCATTGGGTTGATAGCGAACTGGTTAAGAATGGTGAACCTATTGCTTGGTTTCGCACAGGAGACTCGCAATTTTACGAAGCGTCGAGTACCACTGCCTTGGTAAAGTTATTTCCTGGCGACCGTGTCTGGACAAGAGTAAGGGACGGCCCATATGGTGCAGATCTTGTTGCCCTTGTTTCAATGTTTTGCGGATTCAAAATATGACATTAAATGTTGCATTCTTAAGTGCATAGCATGTAAACAATGTGCTCTGATTTCCGCTTTTGTTGCAATTGTAATTTAGCTACATCTCGTCTGCAAGATTAAAATTGAAAGTCCATGTGAAGTAGATATGTATAACAAGAATAACATAGATATAGGTCTCAAAAGGGAGGACGGGCGGCACAGTGGATAGCGTACTTGCCTATCACCAAGGCGACCGGGGTTCAATTCCTCGATCGGACGTAAAAATGTATTGGGTCACCTGCCCGACCACGTATGCTTTCTCCTCTTACTCCGGTTTCCTCCCACAGTAAGACCGCGCGCTTACATCTGGGCCAAGAAGAGTGATTAGTGTAAGTTGCAAAAATTAGTTTCATAATTGTTGTAAAATAAATAAAGTTTATAAATGTATATATTAGGTCTGAAAAAGTAATAACGAGAGAATGGTTCATCCACATATTTTTGATTGATATATCAGCAAAAAAGTGATACAGACATTGCGGAAACATCAGCAAGAAAGCATGGAACATTAACATTATGTTAGATTAAAATTGAAATAAAATGAATTGATATTCAAATGTATAAACCATAATCCTCGGTTATTGTTAGCCGAATGCAGTGATAACACTCATCGAAGAAGCTTTGACTGTAACTATAATGGAAATAAATCAACGATATTTTACTTTAGAAAAACATCTAATATTATTTTTATATTATTGGATACACCGATCGCCACAGATGTCGTAAATGGATACTTGAGGGATCGCCGGAGTTCGTGGGGGTGTTCTTGTTTTTTTAGGGTGTTTTTTTTTAATGTGGTTTAGCTCGTACATGTATGATGACGTAGTGATTAATAGAATCTATCCTTACCTTCATGGTGTGACAGAGAAATCTCCAATCCCCGGCAGAGCCTCGGGTTAGACAATCAAAAGAAATACCCCAAGGGTTGGCGAGTTCTCTGTTACAAGGTAGAGAAGATTGTATTAATCCTAGTGTGTTGGCGCGGTCGTATATTTTTCCTTGTTTCTTCTGGGTAACTTCTGTGTTTCCCGTTTTGGAACTGAAAACAAACTGTTGCATTTTTGTATTACATATTAATACCAAAAGACATGGACATTTTATAACGTCGGTGAACTATCTAATTGAAAACATAAGCCTTGTGTTCTATTACAGTCTACTAATTAATGTAATGAGTTACTCAAATAACATCAATAAAAGTTAAATATATTTAAATATCTGATTTAGTGTGTTAAAGAACCCGTGCAGACTCGAGGAAGGAATAGGCCTGCTGTACCGAACTGCATGTTCGTACGAGGTGACTTATGTGAGGCCCCTGCAGAATCGGGGTGGTTTCTTCGCGGTTTTCTGTTTAGAGGAAATTGAGGAAACCAAGAATAGACCAAAGACAAGACGTGAAGAGATATTTTTCATGTTTCCTTTTATTTTTGTTCCTATGTAGTTTCTCTTTCCGGTCGTGTCTCCCTAGGTACCCGTCCTTAAATGAACCTGACTGTTGTGTGGACGTTTAACTACAAACAATCAAACAAACAATCCTATGTTTAACTTGGGTGTTAAAATATGATAATCAGGATGGGGGTGATAGTAAAGCTGACTATAGCATCCTTTCGGGCGCGTGTTTTCGTCAAGCATTATGTTAACCAAATATGAAGGCCAAGGCATGAAAATCAAAGGGGATATAAATACCAGATATGAAAATCAAATATAAGGATGGTAGACGAAATCTAGAAATGAAAACAAGAAGAAGAAAAGATAACGGGATGTGAAAACCAATAATAAAAACCTAATATGAATACTGGATATGAAAACCGGATATATATTAAAACTAAATACGAAAACGAAGTATGAAACACACGGGTGCCACATGTGGTGCAGTAAATGATGTCACTTCCGGCTTTGATTAAGTTCGTGGTGTCATTCCAGAGATCCGGTGTTCTTTACCAGCATCAGATGTGGTGCCAGACATGACGTGCCTTGTGAAAGAGTGAACGTACATTTGGTCTGATAAAAGTGAGGTTAAGAAATATAAGAAATTGTCTTATCTGATTGAACATGTATGTAAGTATTCTGATTATCTATATAGGTTATAGCGAGTCGTTAGATGTCCTGTAACAGACATGGACTTATCTATTTCCTTCAAAGGCACACGTTCAGGTTATAATAATACCTCACCAAAGACAACTGAAACCGTAGTAATGTGTCGGTTGATCGTTTTATTGGCGGGACTTTTGACATTCGTCAGTGGACATCCTCCACCTGACCATGATACCGGATGTGACGTAACAGTTATCCGCCTGGAAAAGATGCTGACTGACCTAACAAGACGCGTCCATGACCTTGAGAATCAAAGACAAGCGGACGTAATGGAGATAACAAATTTTCGGCAAGATATGGAGAAGGTAGAGTTCACGTATGGCCTTATATTAATATCTTAACTTAATCAGTTTTTAAGAGAGTTTTACACCTTTAACAAAGTAATTGGCTAAATCTTGTATGTAAAAATCCTCCTAGCATTTTATACCATTTTTAATGAATATTTCCAAAATATAATAACAACGCTCGAAAGTTGTGCACGTGCGCTTTTTTCAACAAGAAAGATATAGAAATGAGAAAGAGGGAAATCGGAGAAATATCAGAGAATTCCATTAACATTACTCTCAACTATGTATCTTAAAGCAACTTATCTATGTGGAATTAATTACATAGATCAAGGTATATATATCAATTATGTAGCTCTATCACAGCTGTCACTGTAACGCATTGTGACGATGCTGTATTGTAAGGAACATTATGACAATATTTCCCTTCCATAACCAAATGAATGAATAGGCTTTATTCATAGGTCAGATTTGTATAACTGGTTCATGCATTACAGGTCAAAACCGAGAATCGTCAACTTAAAACTGAACTTGATCACATGATTACTACGAAGTGCGATAGACAGCCCCAGAACCCTGGCAGGAGAGTAGACATACAGCAACACAACTCTGGCTCCAACAACTCACAGTCACCAACCTTTGACTCGAAAATGGACGCGGAACCAAGTATCAATGATACAAAAACTGACGCGCAGCCATCAACATTTGAGATAAAAACCGGGAAAAACAAAATTGTAAAAGAGCAAACAGTTAATGTCGACGACACCGGAGGAACCACACAGGAAGTCCGAATCAGAAGAGATGACCTTCATCTGACAAACCGAGTCGGTAGGTAAATCGACACGAATGATGTGTCGTCTGCTTCTTTTTATAATTATTTCATTTAGTCGATTTGTGTGGTTTTCATTTTACTATTGTTAAAATAATATCATATTCATATCATACTTTATGTTACAGTATCAAGTGAAACTGTAGCCTTCTTCTCAACTGTAAACCATGAGTTGTTCGACGTCGGTAAAGAACAAATTATTCAATTTGGAAACGTCGTCACCAACAATGGCGGTCACTACAACGAACAATCCGGGGTTTTTACATGTGGTACACAGGGAACCTATGTTTTTTCCTGGACGTTGTATGTGTCAGATGACAGTCACATTGATAGCGAACTGGTCAAGAATGGAAACGCTTTCGCTTACTCCCGTGCAGGTGACGCAAACTATTACGAAGCGTCGAGCACCACCGCTGTGGTAAACCTCAGTCCTGGAGACATGGTGTGGACGAGAGTTAAGGATCGGTCACCTGGTGCCGATATAAGGGCTTCTGTGTCAATGTTTTGCGGCTTCAAAATTTGATAGTATGTTTCACATTTTTGAAAATTATATGACAAATGTGTGTTAATTCTTCTGCGTTTTTTGTTATTTCATACATATTGCACATGTATTAGCTAAATCAATCTCTCCCAACCCTTCGAAATAATGTGTACTTTTGTGAGATTTTATATCATTTTTTTTTTCTAGTCAGTTCAGTTTCTATTGCAATCTTTTTTAAATGATTTGTTCATGTGTATTGGCTCTGTTGTGTAACATTATAGTACATGTTAGTGTCGCGCTACCTTTGTTTGGTTGAATAGGCAGTTATCTCCCTTGTAAGTTTTCATTCCTTGTTTCTGGAACACAATATGACGAGAACGTTTCCACAACGTCGTTCAAGTGATTTCATTCCTATCTTAACAATCATAACAAATCACAATTATTGAACCACATAGGTTATCCAATAAAAAAGAATAACATGTTGTGTATTTTGTCCTTGTGTGTTGACGCCATGGTATTTTCCTTTGTGTCGCTAGATGTCCTACACATAGGTCAATTTTTACCGATAAGAAACAAACGTGGTCAGAGCTGGTCTTATCTTTTTCCTATAAAGACGCATTGTCACCACGACATAATAGCAACTCAGGAAAGGCAGTTGAAACCGCAGTAATGTGTTGGTTGATCGTTTTATTGGTGGGACTATTGACATTCGTCAGTGGCCATCCTCCACCCGACCGTGATACCGGATGTGACGTTGCAGTTCTCCGCCTGGAAAAGATGCTGACTGACCTTTCAAGTCGCGTAAATGACCTTGAGAAACAAAGAGAATTGGACGTCATGGAGATTGAAAATGTTCGACAAGATATGGAGAAGGTAAAGCTCATACATGACCTTTCTAAATTTGTAATACAACCAGTGTTTTTGGAAATATACACTTTGTGCAAATGTTTTGGTTAAATCTCGTCTCTTCATTCCAGAATGTAATCAACACACTCTGAAATGGAGGACGTCCGCTTTTTATTGTGCCTTTTATATGAGAGCTTTGATTTTCTGATATTAATAAAGCTTGGTACAAAATATTGCTTTATGAGGTATTGGTGGAATTGTAATTGACAAATATTTTAAACATGTTATGGATATCACGTTCTTCGGTTATGTTTTTCCTATCAGAAGAGTGTATAAGCTAGCCATTGTGTTGAAGATTTAGTTGTTTCTTTTAAATTGACTTGTAATATATTATTGACTATGGGTGAGTCACTTGGCGACTTTGCTTCATGCGGTATCCGTCGTGACGTATTCGGTCAAATTCAAGGAATAAATGAATGGCATCAATAACTTTAAGACGGGGAACAAGTCAGGAAGCATGAGGGATACTGAAATGGGATAGACGGAAATCGGAGAAATACAGAAATAAAAACATCAGAGAATTTTATGAGCAAAAAGCATCAGAGATTAGTATTGTTTAAGCAACTTATGTAAGTGAGTTTTCATATTTGATCGAAGTATATATGTCTACACTAGCGTCGTTAAATTTTCATTTAATTGCCATTTGTTCATATACGGTTAATGTATTACAGGTAAAAACCGAGAATCGTCAACTTAAAACTGAACTTGATCACATGGTTACAACGAAGAGTGATAAACAGCCCCCAAACCCTGACAGGAGAATAGACATACAGAAACACAACTCTGGCTCCAACAACTCAGAGTCACCAACCTTTGACTCGACAATGGACACCGTACCAAGTATCAATGATACGAATATAGACTCGCAGCCATCAACATTTGAAACAAAAATAGGGGAGAACAAAATCGTTAAGGAGGGAACTGTGTATATTGACGCCACCACTAAGAGCAAACAATATGGCCGAATCAAAAGAGATGAACTACAGCGCCCTAAAAGTCTATCCCGCAATCTGACAAGCCGTGTCGGTAGGTAAATCGACACGAATGAAACACTAGTTTTATGCTTTTGAAAGGTTGGGTGGCGCAGTGGATAGCGCATCACCTTTCATCAAGACGGCCGGGGTTGGTTCCCCGTTCGGATGTGAAACAGTATAGGGTTACCTGCCACATAAAGACTCCTCTACCCCCCACCCCTGTATAATGCATCCACGATACTCCAGGGGTTACGCTCACTTACGCGCTCTGCACCCCTGGAATATGTCACAGCAAAATTGACTCAGTTTGTTCCACTTTGTTGATGAGATTAGGAGACTAGTTCAATCCCTTGATGTAGAATCCCGCGGTCGCGTAACGGTAAAAATGACAGACTTTGAAGTTGGGTATCGCTCCTTTGTAATTTTCAAAGGACAGGTATCAGCCTTGCGATTGGTCAGATTATTTTTACCTGAGACCAATCAAAAAGCTGTCTTTGTGCTTTCAATTTTGCTATGATATGGTCCAGGGGCGTAGAGAGCGAAAGTGAGCGTAACCCCTGAATATCGAGGACGTGTATAATGTGATACTGAATAAAACATTTAGTCTATTTGTTTGGTTTGAATTATATCCTTGTGCTTTTTTATAATATCGTATTTTCACACTTGATGTTACAGTGCCAAGTGAAACTGTGGCCTTCTTTTCAACTTTAAGCCATGAGCTGACCGACGTCGCTAAGGAACAGAATATTCAATTTGAAAATGTCGTCACCAATAATGGCGGTCACTACAACCAACAAACCGGTGTTTTTACATGTAGTACAGGGGGAACCTATGTTTTTTCTTGGACTTTATATGTATATTACACCCATTGGATTAATAGCGAACTAGTCAAGAATGGTATTGCTTTCGCATACACCAGTGCAGGTAACAAAAACTATCATGAAGCATCGAGCAGCACCGCTGTGGTCAACTTGAGGCCTGGTGACATGGTGTGGACAAGAATACAAGATAGGGCTCCGGGCGCCAAGATCCTTCCACACGTTTCAATGTTTGGCGGCTTCAAAATATAATATTATATGCGTAACACATTGTAAATAGCATATATCATATGTGTGCCATGGTATTTCTGGTTATTCTAATAAATAGGTTGTTTAAGCTGAATCCAAACCCTTTACCCTTTAAAAATAAACAAACCCCTCAGCCTTTAGAAATAAAATGTGTTCACATCTATGGGGTTTCATGTTGTCTTTCCTTTATTGTTATTGAGTCCATTCATGTTGTTCTCTTTTTAATCGTCATTGAACCTCGAACTTGAGGCAGTGCTGTATTTTGTCCTTGTGGGTTGATGCAGTGCATTATTTTCTCCTTGTGTATTAAGGCAGTGCTGTATTTGTCCTTGTGTAAAATACTATTACATTTGATCTAAAATACCTGTATATAGGGTTTTTAGACAACTGCTATGTAAAAACGAAAAGCTCTTTGAACAGACTGTTTCGCTGACATCGGTAAAACCTTGTTATATTGCCGTCATTAGGCCTGAGAAAGTTTGGCGTTATAAAGGGGTTCGGCAATAAATCGAGGGAAGCATATAAAGGAATGATGAAGAAAATGAGGAAAAAGGGACATTGAAATACGTTGGCGGAAAACGAGGTGAAAAATGAAACAAGTGACATGCTAAATGTACCTATTCAGTCACGTTTGATCTGTTTTAATTTTCAAACGAAAATGTTTAGTATGACTGACCACGTGTGCATATACGAATATCTATATAAGTTATAGCGAGACGTCAGATGTTGTGTAAGTTCGTCTGATAAGAAACCAAAAGTTCAGAGAAGTGGTCTTATCCACTTACTAATACAGACAAGGTCACGACATCATTGTATCCCAACAAAGGCATTGGAAACCGTAGCAATGTGTCGGTTGGTCGTTTTATTGGTGGGACTATTGACATTCGTCAGTGGACATCCTCCACCCGACCATGATACCGGATGTGACGTAGTAGTCCTCCGCCTGGAAAAGATGCTGACTGACCTTACAAGTCGCGTAAATGACCTTGAGAAACAAAGAGAATTGGACGTCATGGAGGTAGCAAATGTTCGGCAAGATATGGAGAAGGTAAAGTTCATACATGGCATTCCTTAATTTATATCCAGCACTTATTTAGGGAATTAAACACCTTTAGCAACATCAGATTTGTCATTGCGAATCCTCCTTAAATTTGAAACGAATTTTCATGAATCTTTCCCACATATGAACACTTGATAGTTGTGTATGTAAGCTTATTTTTTAATCCTGTGTTATGCCCCTTTTCGGATTTTATTATGTTGATAAACATTTGTATAAGTGTTTGTATTTGTTTTAAAAATTATATTTCTGCAATTGCTATTATGATTTTTACTTGGCTGGACGAAACATGTACGCCGCTTCGAATCGCTTCGTGTTTATAAATGTAAGCTTATTTACAACACGTTTATGCAGAAAAAAATTGGTATAGAGCAAAGAATCCATTCATTTTGGCGACGACTACATTCTTGACCATTAGAGTCGTTCTACCTCGTAATTAATTTCTTTCGACGCAGGAAACAGGACCAGGTGTTAAGGACGTCGCCATAAAGAGCAAAAAAAAATACTGCATCCTATTCATTTTTTCTTGATAAAATAAACACATATGCACGGTTTGGTAACTCGTGTGCACAAATGAGAACATTGTGCGCACGGTTTGGTAACTCGTGTGCACAAATAAGTACAGTGTGCGCACGGTTTGGTAACTCGTGTGCACAAATAAGTACAGTGTGCGCACGGTTTGGTAACTCGTGTGCACAAATGAGTATATTGTGCGCACGGTTTGGTAACTCGTGTGCACAAATAAGTACAGTGTGCGCACGGTTTGGTAACTCGTGTGCACAAATAAGTACAGTGTGCACACTGTTTGGTAACTCGGTGTGCACGGATTAGTGAATGTATTACCATGTCCCTTCGCGGCTCCGTAGATGTATCCACTCTCCAAAGCGGCGTATTTTGGTCCCGTCATGCAAAACAGGAAGTTCATGTAACGTGACTTCTTACAATACACTGCGTTCTGCGCTGCAAGTTTATCCATCGTGATGTGAGAGAACTGGTTATTAGTTAGCCTGAAGCTTATGGATCAAGTTGTTTCTATTTAGTCTAGTTTGTATATGCCATTGGGTGCGAGGAAATCACTGCGCCGGCTTTACTGTACGTGACATCCGTCACAAAGTTTCCTGTCAAACTCAAAGGATGAAAGTCACTGATAATCTGAAACAAGTTTTGAAACAAGACAGATACAGAAATGGGATAGATTGAAATCCGATAAATATAAATAATGAAGTATTAAATTATATCATGAACATTACTCTCAGCTAAATGACGGCAATGACGTTTACCTATGTGAAATTTAATGAACTGATTGAAGTATAGATATACTTATATAACGATAAAACAGCTTTCCACTGTAATATATTGTTACTTCATAACAGTTTCCTACTATTATCAAAAATGGCTTAAAACTCTAACTTATTTGTCAGATTTCCATATATGGTTCATATATTACAGGTCAAAACCGAGAATCGTCAACTTAAAACTGAACTTGATCACATGGTTACTACGAAGTGTGATAGACAGCCCCAGAACCCGGACAGGAGAGTAGACATACAACAACACAACTCTGACTCCAACAACTCACAGTCACCAACCTTTGACTCGAAAATGGACACGGTACCAAGTAACAATGATACGACTATAGACTCGCAGGCAACAAAGGGGGAGGAGAATACCGTTAGGGAGGGAACTGTGCATATTGACGACACCAGTAGGAGCAAACAATATGGCCGAATCAGAAGAGATGACCTTCAGCGCCCTAAAAGTCTATCCCGCAATCTGACAAGCCGTGTCGGTAGGTCAATCGACACGAATGAAACACTAGTTTTATACTTTTGAAAGGTCGGATGGCGCAGTGGATAGCGCTCCCACACTTCATCGAGACGGCTGGGTTTCGAATGTAAAAAGGGTTGGGGGTCACCTACGCGACCCTTTTTATGGGTGCTCCAGTTTCTTCCCACAAGAATTAACAAACTATATAAAGTTTAATATTTGATATTTTAAGATTGTAATACGAAAACACGGCTTGTCGAGATAATTATGGCGACATGTCGTGTTACTGGATGGTACAAATATGCCACCATACATTTCACCCTTATGTAGTTAAAAAAAATCAATGCAATGAAAATTTCAATTGTCATCGCAAAACAAGTTGTTATATACTTTGTAACCGAAATGACGGGATTAAAACGAAAACTGATTTCCGGTGCAATGTCACTTCCGGAGAGTTCTCGGTATAGTGCGATCAGGAACACAATATTTAGTCTACATGTATTTGAAGGGTTTCAGTTATATCCTTGTTTTAATAATATCATATTTTCTCACTTTATGTTTCAGTGCCAAGTGAAACTGTGGCCTTCTTTACAACTTTAAGCCATACGCTGACCGACGTCGCTAAGGAACAGATTATTCAGTTTGAAAATGTTGTTACCAACAATGGCGGCCACTACAACGAACAATCCGGTTTTTTTACATGTGGTACACAGGGAACCTATGTTTTTACTTGGACTGTATTTTCATTATACGGCCATACGATTTATAGCGAACTGGTCAAAAACGGCAACGCTTTTGCTTACGCCCGAGCAGGTGACGGAGACTATAATGCTATGTCAAGCAGCACGGCTGTGGTAAACCTGAGTCCTGGCGACATGGTGTGGACGAGAATACAATCTCGGTCACAGGGTACCACGATCTTGCCAAACCTTACAATGTTTGGTGGCTTCAAAATATGACAGTATATGCGTCACGCGTATTGTGTGAAATAGTTGGGTTTTTTTTGTTGAATCCACACCTCACCTTTAAAAATAAATATGTGTATTTCAATGGGGTTTCATGTTGTCTGTCTTTTGATATTGGAGTCAATTCCTATTGTTATCTTTTTGTATTGACAATGAATTTCGACTTTCTGCAAGTGTATTGATAAAGTGTTATAGTTTGTCCATGTGTGTTGACGCGGTGTTATGTTTTGTCCATGTGTGTTGACACGGTGTTATGTTTTGTCCATGTGTGTTGACGCGGTATTATGTTTTGTCCATGTGTGTTGACACGGTGTTATGTTTTGTCCATGTGTGTTGACACGGTGTTATGTTTTGTCCATGTGTGTTGACGCGGTGTTATGTTTTGTCCATGTGTGTTGACACGGTGTTATGTTTTGTCCATGTGTGTTGACACGGTGTTATGTTTTGTCCATGTGTGTTGACACGGTGTTATGTTTTGTCCATGTGTGTTGACACGGTGTTATGTTTTGTCCATGTGTGTTGACACGGTGTTATGTTTTGTCCATGTGTGTTGACACGGTGTTATGTTTTGTCCATGTGTGTTGACACGGTGTTATGTTTTGTCCATGTGTGTTGACGCGGTGTTATGTTTTGTCCATGTGTGTTGACACAGTGTTATGTTTTGTCCATGAGTGTTGACACGGTGTTATGTTTTGTCCATGTGTGTTGACACGGTGTTATGTTTTGTCCATGTGTGTTGACACAGTGTTATGTTTTGTCCATGTGTGTTGACGCGGTTTTATGTTTTGTCCATGCGTGTTGACGCGGTGTTATGTTTTGTCCATGTATGTTGACGTGGTGTTATGTTTTGTCCATGTGTGTTAAAACGGTGGTATTTTTAGTCTTTGTGGGTTGACATGGTTTTATCCTTTTGTCCTTGTATTTGTGCGTGATTGTTTATTTTGTCCCGGGTTGTTGATGCTGTGGTGTTATGTTTTGTCCTTGTGTGTTGATACGGCTGTATTGTTTGTCCTAGCGTGTTGATACGGTGGTGTATTTTGCCCTTGACGCTGTTGTGTGGTATGTTCTTGTCTGTTTTCTGAAAATGCATCGAAATGTACTTACTGTACTCTAGAGTAAGCTCTAAATGTAAGGATACTGCTTAAGACAAAAAGAACGACAACTCTGTAAAACAAGTTTGAGGACAACATGCATAAACCTTACGGTTAATCCCGCCGGACTGCAAAGAAATGGAAGGAAACTACCATATCCGTACTGTCAAATGTTAACGAACAGACAATGACATTGTAAGTCTCGGCATGACGTCTCGAACTTAGGAGACACCGATCCCAAAGACGACAGGGCCCAGTATTCATGAAACTGTACTCATGCTCAAGCATGGATTCTGTGCTCAAACCAGTTTTCTTGTAACTCATTCAAATCATGTCAAATGATGACAAAGTCAAATGTAAACATTGAAAACAGTATTTGGCTTTACTGTTTAATTGTTGACAATTTGTTTTCGTTCATTTATAACCGGAACAAGAAATTAGACTTGAGCACAAAATCTATGCTTGAGCAGGAGTACGGTTTCATGAATTGAATACGGGCCCAGTTATTCATAAAAGTCAGGATTATAAGCAAGGTGTTTCTTAAGGGTCAGGTTTGTTTTGGTCAATATGCGGCACTCGTATGTTTTCAAATTTGACTTGATTTTCAGTGAAGCATTTTATTTACAGATACGGTATTGCAGTCAAATTCATGAATCTTAACATAACAAAAAAAAATGATATTTCATCTGATATCCGGATTAGTGTGGGTCAACAGTATTTGCAGGCAGTGTTTTGGTAATGACTTCAGTAGATATCCATTAACAAGAAAAATCTAAAACAAAATTGTGATTTTTTTTTATTTGTGAATGTTATTTGTGATGAAGTGCGCCTATACTCGTTGACAATGTCACTTGGTCCGTAGCGACTCTTCACTAGATGGATGTTTAACTTCATGATAATAGTTTCACTTCCGGCAGCGATCAATACCCATGGTCCTTCCGGTCTGTCTAAACATTATCGCTATGTAAGAACAATTAGTGTGTCATTGATGTGCAGAAAATGACTTTTGGTGTATTTCACTGTAGGGGGTGGGGGACGACTTTTATGTATGTAAAGTAAAAAATAGATATTGCTACATAAACAATGTAGCTTTAAAACCAATTGTTAAAATGTTTAAACTGCTTGATTTTGCTTAAATAAATTGTGTTTTGAGTTCAAAAGTTGCAAATTATACAAATGGCATGGCCTGCGTGGCTGTGTTAAATGTTGTTTTCTTTCAATTTGAACGTCAGGAAACTGATGTCCGTCGTTGCTACGGACTCTTGTCTGGATTTGATCATGAAACATTACAGCGGGAAATAAAATATTGGAATATTTCAACTATACCGACGTGAACCTTGGACGTTTTCGTTTATCGCGATCCAAACGGTTGAACCGGTTGGACCAGAGTTGTTCGTTTATGAGATAAGGTCGGACCTAGTAATCGGTTGCTATTTTCAGGTGAGCCTTGACCAAGCCTTTCAAGATGCACGACCGTCCCTCCTTCTTACTACTATCATGGAAAAAGAATTGCCCAAATATACCCTACCAGACTAAGACTATCATGCAGCACTCTAAATGACCACCTATTTAAAAGACAACTTGTAGAAAGTCCACTAAGTACATGCGGGGAAATAGAGGATAATACCCCTCACTTACTCATGTGCCCGAACTATAATGTTTTACGGCAAACTTACTTATTAGCACTACCCCACAACACCACAACTAATTTGTTATCATATGGAGATATAAATTTACCGGAAACAGTTTATCTTGATATTTTTACATCTGTACAGAATTGTATCATGCAAAGCAGGCGTTTTAACTGAAAATATATGATAATCAACGCATATGTACTTATCTTAATTTATTTTCTATGTGACAGATGTATTAACAGTGTGAGTGGGCGCAATGGGCATGAACACCATATTATGAACAAGTTTCTCATTTTGTTTGTGTTTAGGCGTACATCACTCCGAGGCGTCATTTCCTACCTGAGTATCACTGCTATTCACCTTCATCGAAAATTGTTACATTGTTTACATGTCCCCTTTATATTTCTGCCATTCTACGAAATTATTCTATGTATATGTATTAGAACTTAATTATTTCAATATAATTTAATGATTACTATATCTGCTGTCAGTATCATATATCTAACGTAACGAAACGGACATTGTAAAAGTACTTAGTACTTGTTTCCGAATCGTTGTTGATTATATATTGAAAATATAATGTATTGTATATTTCCAGAAATAAATACAGTTTCAACTAAGCTTTTCAATGACTACTCAAACATTTTCAGGTCCACCAGGCTTTATACCCGTAAATGTTATATTTAAAAACAGACAAACCGGTTGTTCCGCATAAACAAACAGGCCCCTGTACTCTTCATTGAATCCATGCTATCTGGCGTCTTTCGGGAAGAATATTCAAATTCATATTTTATTATAACTTTAAGCTGTTCCGCTTATCAGTTCACAAATAACATTTAAATACAATAGCAGATACTGCAATAATGTAGTAGATAATTGACAAAATATACAAGGTAGGTACATGCAGTTATTATTGCATCATAGTATTTCTTAATTGAAAAATGTGATTTAAACATATTTTATTGCAAATAACAGATTTCGACAACAAATTGGACACAAGTTTTGCCAACTTATCAAAGTCCCCTTCAACAAAAATCAATGGATTAAATACATATCACGTAATGTTAGATCTGCTTAAATATATACATATGACAAAAAAGAATTGTAGTTAAGAGAGGGGACAAAAACGAAATGGAGATATTTTTCGAAAAATATTGGACACAGCTAACTTATATATATTTACCTAACATAGTTAATTCCTTTCGATTCGTTGTACACAGTAACTGTATTAACTTGTTCCGGGTTTTTTTCTTTCCAATAACACATTCAATATATATATGTCTTAATCCTTGGTGTGGTATTGTACTGTATGTAAATATTGTAAACATCTCATTTATGAAACTGATGAATCGAAAGACTCTCGGTAATAAAGAACTTAAAACTTTCAGACTTACAACTCTGCAAAAAACAAATAAATATTCAAAAACAAATAAATAAACAAAACAACCAAAAAAAACCGACATCGATCGGCATAACCCATACTTATAAACAAAACCGTTGGTCCTGGGCATGAACACCCCCTGACTATTTACCCCCTTTGCAAGTACAAATGTATTTATATATATAAAAATCTATATACTTTTCTTAATATCAATTTCTGTAGATTTCGGTCGTTTAAAAGTCTGTTATCAGTTCAACATTGAAAATTCCTGCAATGCATACTCTTTAACAGGATCTTTTTTTGGATATCAACGAACTAAAAACGTAAGAAGCACATGCAGATTGCGTTAGTCTTTTTGCGGTGAAAATTGATCTGAATACAAATAAACTAAATTCCACTATATTGACAGTATTTATACATCTTAACTGGGGGAGAAAATTAATTGTTTGCACACAAATGTGATATTTAAAATTGGTCGATACAATTTGTTGCGGAGTACGACTTATTATTGTCGCGGTCCATAGCAACGTTGAAGAAGATGGGTGTTATATGATGATTGTACCACTTCCGGTAACGATCAATATCCGGCTTACTTCCGGTCCAAACACGGTACGTAATAACGTCACTGGCATTATGTATGAATAATTAGTGAGTCGATGTTGTATAACAAATTATTTTTTGGATTGCCTCTCTGAAGGGGGTGCGACAATTATAATATACCCAGCGTGAATGCAATACAAAGTTTCAAAAAAGAGAATACAACAAATTAAAAGCAATCCATCAGCTCTAGTTGTATTGTCATAATACCGTACACGTAGGGTATTATGACAAAACCTTTGCATTCGGTTCGGCTCTCATTTCTTTTCTTCTGTCTCGGTTTTCTATTAACTATCTTTTTGACCAGTGGGGGTAGCCACAACGGTTGTGTGCATCTGTTATGTGCTGTTCCACCCTGTGTCCATCCTCCTGCTCTGTGAT